TCCACATATTATACACAAAAACCTAAAAAATACGGCCAAAAATGTTTGATCATTATAGGATGGGTATAGGATATATTATATCATGTGTGTTTGCCTGTGTATGTCTGTACGTGTGTATGTATGTGTATGTGTGTATCTTTGTGTGTGTATCAATAACATTACTAAGGACCTTATGAGAGCGAAAGAAAAATATTAATAGCGATTATATAGTTATAGTAGAAGAAATAAGGGTAAAAAACAACAATAACAACAACAGTAATAATCACAATAAAAATCATATAATAATAATAATAATAATAAATGTTCTCTGAATACGATTCCAGTATATAGAATATAGATGTTTCAACATAACCATATATTATTATATTGTCTGTAATATTTGATAAATACACAAAAGAAACTAATACAAAGTAATGTACAGAGCAACACACACACACACACATTATATATACACACAACACATACAAACACAAACAAATAAACTCACGCACACACAAACATATACACTATAATAGCAACAGAGATGATGAAAATGTTATGCACATCGTTATAGTTAGTTGATAAAGAAGAAATATAATTAAAAATTATTATTATCATCATCATTCTTATTATTACTAGAAGCAGTAGTAGCAGTAGTAGTAGTATTAGTAGAAGAAGCAGCAGCAGTAGTAGTAGTAGTAGTACAGGATGAATTAAATGAAAGTCGCATAATATTAAAATCATTAAATTAGATAACAATAATAAATTATAACAACGACAATAATATGAATAATAAATAATGCTACTATAATCTATATATTTATTTATTATATATATAATATTTTACAATTATCTCTTCAATATTTTTTTGAGACCTGTGTGTGTGTTTGTATGTATGCATGTGTGTGTGGGCTTTGTGTGTGTGTGTGGGCTTTGTGTGTGTGTATGTATTTTCACTAAACGTGTGCATGTACGTTAAACATTGCATACAATATTGTATGTACTACTGTTTAAATAATATTTAAATTATAATTATATACATATTATATATAGAGAGAGAGATAATATTTTTATGAAGAACTAAATACGATTACCTTAAAACAGCTGAAAGTTTAATACGGCCACTAGCAAACCAAACTTAGGTTATTAATATAGACTATGGGACCACACAAAGAGTATCGTCAAATTATATGTGTGTGCGTGTGTGCGCGCGCGTGTGTTTGAATGATAAATTACAACACATTACCATAAGAACGAATAATATATATATATATATAAGTATAATTGTCTAAACGTTTGGTATAAATTTGCTTATTTAAATACAAAAAAAATTACCATACATACATACACAGACGTACATTCACATACACAGGCAAATACACGCACCGACGTACATACACATACAGAGACGTACATACACGTACATAGACGTACACATACGTATACACAAGCGAACACACACATACACAGACAAAAATACTCATACATAGACGTACACACACATACACAGGCGTACACACACATACACAGATATACATACACATACATAGGCGTACACACACACACACACGGACGTACATAGGCAAACACACACACACACACACACGTATATAAACACACAGACATGCAAATTCCTATTAAGATGTTTCAAATTTTGGTGGATGAAAGAATTAAAAAATTGCTAAATAAATATAAATATTAAATATATACATAGATAAGAAATATATAAATATACCTTTATACATTCATCATTCATATATATATATATATATATATATATATATATATATATATATATATATATATATATATACAATTATTTGTAAAGATCACTGCGTTTTCGTCATTATTCAACTTGTAGTTGAGTTTCTCAATTTTTCTAACGAGACTTTTATCATCTTGATGAAGTTTATTAAGGTTAAATAAAAAACTTAATATTTGACATTTCTGACAAAAAATTATTAATAATAATGTAAAATAATGTAGTAATAACGCAGTAATCTTTATAAATAATTGTGTTTATGATAGTCTAAACCCAAAAAATATATATATATATATATATTTATATATATATACATACAAATACACATATATATGAAATGTTAGAAAAGTGAAACGAAACGGGACGAAATACTAAAATACTTAAGACAAAATAAGTAACTAAGTAATTTATAGAGAAAATTTTATCTAAAGATATTGAACTTATTTGGTGTAATACATAAATATAAATATATAAATATACATATGCATTACACGCACACACACACACATACACACACACACACACACATATATATATATATATAATTATATTTTTATAATTATATACTTTATATATATAATTTATTGTTGTGAGTGTTGTAGATGTGTTGACAACAATGTTGTTGCTGTTGTCGACGCTGTAAACGTTTTCTTGTAACAACAACAACAATAACAATAATAATAATAATAATAATAATAATAATAATAATAATAATAATAACAATAATAACAATAATAACAACAATAAATAATAACAACTCCAGAAAATTCAATACAAGCAGACATACATTAGATGTGTAATGCTATTCAAAACAACATAGCAATAGATTAAGTTTTAATTATTTTACCATAATATATACACACACATATATATATATATATATATATATATATATAACTTACATTAAATTTATAGACGTATTATAAATTATTATATTCATATATCCTTTGTATATAAGGACAAGTTCGTCATCATCATCTTAATCTTAACCGTTATTTTCTTCAGACATTTTAACAACAGAGTTGTTGTTGTTGTTTGGTGTGTTGTTGTTGTTTGTTTTTGGTGGTATCATACTGTTGCTGTTGTTGTTGTTGTTGTTCATTATGATGTTATTACAGGATTCGTTGGACTGGCCTGGGGACTGATTGACGAAATCTGACTGCTGATTGGCTGCCGACATGTAGACTTGACCAAGGTTGCTGTGATTGGTGTTCGTGTGACCAATCATATTAGAGGATGAGTTGTTCTTTGGCGGTCTTTGGTAGAAAGGTGGTTGCTGTTGTTGTTGCTGTTGGTTGTGGTTGTTGTTGAAGTCATCGTTCGACATGTCGTCCATCTCATTTTTGTCTAGCAACGAAGACGATGATGAAAATGATGAAGACGACGACAACGACTTGTTCACCTGTAAGCCACCGCTGCTGCTGTTGTTATTGTTGTTTGATCTCATGTCTTGGTCGTACTTGGATTTTAGGTGCGGTAAATGTTTGCCCGCCATATCGGTGGATGAAGAAAAATTGTCGCTATACATGTCTCTAGACCAGCCGTTGTTCTGCTTGGATTCGTCATTAGCCCCTGCTGCACTGCTGCTTGCGCTGCTGCTAAACGAGTTCATACCGAATCTCATTTGTTGCTGCTGTTGTTGATGGTGTTGATGTTGCTGGTGATGATGGTGGTGGTGATGGTGGTGGTGTTGTTGCTGTTGGTGGTGATGTTGTTGCTGTTGTTGAGTGACATCAGGAAAGGCATCCATGTACTTCAAGCAGGAATCCCTCTGGTTGAATTTGAACATATCCTCTCTGAAATAATCCTTCTCCTTCATACTCTTACTCGAGTGGCCTTCCGATGATGAGGGCAGCATCAAGCCCCCCTTCATAATGCCACCCCCACCACCGTCGGACATTCTTCTTTCCCCACCACCACCACCTTGTTGGATGCTCTTCAGGATTCGTTTGTAGGTTTCCTGGTGTTGGGTATCAGTTTTGTGTTCGATGTGCTTCAGCAGGTAAGTCTCTTGAGTGAAAAGCTTCTGACAGACGCTACAGGTGTACAAGGGTAAATCTTTCAAATTGGTCTTCACACTTGTGTTGTTGTTGTTGTTGTTACTGCTACTGTTGTTGTTGTTTGAGTTTGACGGGATGGGATTGATGTCGGCATGCACGTGTCTCATGTGCTTCCAGTATTGTTCCTCTTCCAGAAACTCTTCCTTGCAGATGATGCACGTGTGCAGGTCGTCATCCATCTCCTGCTTCATGCCTCTCATGTCCATCATTGGATTCTCACTCGAGAACACCTGAACAATTCGAGCATGTTCACATCCATTCTTTATTTGTCATTAATCATAGAGGTAGTAAAAAAAATAATGTCTTCTTTTAAATGCCAGTGCTTATTCAAACACAGAAGGTCATACATCCATAATTAAAAAAGATACTCGCACATCTATCTATTTTTGATGTCTGTCTGAGAGCAGCGGAATAACCACCGGAACGCAAACACTGCATGCACTTCTTTTAAAAATTTAAAAAAAAAACGAAAAATTTCTTGAAAGAAAAATCATTAGCACGGGCATATATTAAATAGAACGCTGTTTGATACAGGATTTTACGTTATACAATTTTTCATTCTTTTGTTGAAAATTTTTCAAAAATTAATTTAAAAAAGACAACAGCATTTTATTAGCCTCCACACATCTCAGCGGCGCAACTTATCAACTTCCAACTATTTTATGGCTGCTCATCGTACTCAGTATAATAAAAATAATGGTAAAAAGTTTGACCGAACAAAATTCTTGCAAAAAAATACAGCAAAAACATAAAAGTGGAACGCAGACGAGTAGATATATGATGTTAAACTTGATCTTTTGTGAAAAAGTGGCGGGAATCGGAATCTGATAATTATAAGTCATTTTGAAATGATAATAATCTCGACAGGTTTATTTTTCATTAAATTTGAAAAAAAAATTTTGTTTGACGGAAAAAATTAATTTCAACTGTCATTAAATTTTAAAAAGCGAGGCGATCTTTTTCTTTTTTTCGAAATAATAGAGTGCGCGAAAGTCGTTGAAAAAAGAAAAAATTGCCCAAGTAATGAATGAATTTAACAAGAAAGAGAGGGAGAGGGAGAGTGAGAAAAAGAGTAAAAGAGAGAGAGAGAGAGAGAGAGAGAGAGACGGAAAAAGGTATCGGCGTGGGAAGAGTAGAAAAAAATGAAACAAAGATACGAAAAATACAAAGATGCCCAATAATTATTTCGCTTAAAATTGTTTAGCAAAAAAGTCATACATGCAGACTTCATAAATATTAAAATAAATGTAAAATTACAATGAGATACGAAGCCACAGACATTTTTTTCTTCATTTTTCATTTTGCTGTCACATTTTTATGACACACACACACACACACACACACACAGACAGACACACAAACGCAAACACACACAAATACAGACAAACATACATATATCAATTTAAACAAAAATTTTTTTTTACCTAAAATTAAATTTGAAAAAGAAAAATTCATCGAATTTCTAATGCTGAAATTGAAATAAACTAATTTCATGTCTGGGCGGCACTACGGTGTAACGGTTAAGACGCCTGTGACTGCTGTTGTAGGAGCTGCGTTTGAATGCCAAGAGAAGCCGGCCAATCACACGCAATGTGCGTGGTGTGTTCAGTTGCCTTTAAAAATATTTATAAGACTTAAAAAGTTATAAAATAAGGTGAAAAAATGGCCAGTTAGTATCGAAACGACCTTGAGGTTGGCGGCGAATTTTTTGAAAACTCGATCGATGATGAGAATGAAAGTGAAGAGATAAATTACAGTAGGATCGATGAATTTTTACCATTACAACAAATGTGTTACAGCAGTTCATTACTTTGAATGTGTTTTTAAACGAAAACATTTTTCTTTTGCTCGATGTTCTTTTGCTCGAAGTTTTTAATCATCATCTTCATTGCTGTCCCCACTACCATCATCATCATCATAATCTAAAACATCATTACCATCATCATCATCATCATTCTAAATACCATCCTCATCATCGTTAAGATCATCATAATCACCATTTTCATCATTACAACCACCATCACCACCGCGTCATCATCACCACCATCTTCATCATCGTCGTCGTCATCATCATCATCATCATCATGCGAACCTTCCAATAGTCCGGATGCAGTTGCTGGAGATGGCGGAAGAAGCTGACCTCATCTTCGCAGTGTTTCTCGCACACCTGACATATCAGGTCGTGGGGCCGAGCCAACATCTGATCATCAGGATGATGATGAAGACGACGATGACGATGAAAATGATGATGATGATAAAAATGAAGATGGCGATGATGATGACGATGAAGACGATGATGACGATGAAAATGATGATGATGATAAAAATGAAGATGGCGATGATGATGATGATGGCGATGATGATAAAAATGATGATGGCGATGATGATGACGATGAAGACGATGATGATTGTGATGACGACAACGACGATGAGGTGATGATGATGATATTAAAACAGAAATTAAAATGCGTTCATATTGGTTAAGTAAACAAAATGAAACAAAAAAAATCTGGCTACGCCTAACGACACATAAATTATGCTAATGAAGTGTGCATATAAATATTTAATGTACCGATATTATAATATGCAAATAACTAGATTTTCGATCATGTAAATAAATAATGAAACCGTACGCAACACATAAAATACACACACACACTCACGCACACACACACGCATACACATACAAAGATACTATAAAATCATTGAAATGAATAATTGAACAAATAAATAAGCAAATACAAATATCATCAAACGAGCAGATATTGCATATCCAATTCGTTCGTTCTTTCACTTTTGAATAGTTAATCAACTCATTCATAAACTTTCAAGAGACTTTTTATGATACCATATGATACTTTTTTATATTTAAAAATAGATACTGCCATTTGAAACGAGCAGACAAATTCTCGAGGTGCATGCAATCTATTAAGATTAAGTATGAACAACCACATTCAAAAAAATTGATAAAAATATCCAAACCTAATCTTTAACTACTTATACAGAAAATGAAATACGATTACGTAGTAATGGTAGTAAGTTCTTATGTGGCCTTCTTTACCTTTTACATAAACTTCCACATTGAAAGTATTTCCATTGTCACGAGACCTGGTTCAAATACGCCGTCAGCCAAAAAAAATATAAAGCAATCACACGTTTGAAATGTGTGCATCCAACTATGAAAATCCTCATTCAAAAACATACAAAAACAAACATAAACATAAGAAAACATCCACATATGAATAACACATAAAAACACACAAAGTCACACAGACAAACACAAACACACAAATAAACGCATAAACTACACACGTGTGTACGGTACAAAAATAAATACAATATACACACATACATATATATATATATACACACACAAACGAATTCGTACATAAACAAACAAACAAACATACACATACAAATACACATACACACACACACATGCATACACACATACATACACACGGCACGAGATTTTAATAAATTTTGAACGTGAAAAGTTTTTTGAGATTCAAATGACGTCTAATTTCATTTATTTAATATTTTACCATTTCATTATTAACAAATGTATTCATTAGTTTGTATTATATTTATTTTATTATTATTTCAAATCACTATTCATTTTTAATTTTCAATAAAGAACATAAAACAAAAACCAGAATCAATCTACCTACATCCGTCTTATGCCTAGTAAGGTTATTT